CAAGCTTTTAACAAGTTGAAAATTCCGTTCCTCAACTTTCAAAGACTTTTCGCAAAGGCTTGTAGCAAGCTTGTTAACAAGTTGACACAATCCGTTCATCAACTTGTCAAAAAGACTTTTCGCAACAGCCTTGTAGCAAGCTTGTTAACAAGTTGAGAAAATTCCGTCCCTCAACTTGTCAAAACGCAACAGGCTTGTAGCAAGCTTTTTAACAAGTTGAGACAATTCCGTTCCATCAACTTGTCAAACAGTCTTTTCGCAAGGAGGCTTGTAGCAAGCTTGTTAACAAGTTGAGACAATTCCGCTCCATCAACTTGTCAAATAGATTTTTCGCAACAGGCTTGTAGCAAGCTTGTTAACAAGTTGAGACAATTCCGTTCCATCAACTTGTCAAAAAGACTTTTCGCAACAGGCTTGTAGCAAGCTTGTTAACAAGTTGAGACAATTCCGTTCCATCAACTTGTCAAAAAGACTTTTCGCAACAGGCTTGTAGCAACCTTGTTAACAAATTGAGAGTAATCCGTTCCATCAGCTTGTCAACGAGACTTTTCGCAACAGGCTTGTAGCAAGCTTGTTAACAAGTTGAGAAAATTCCGTTCCATCAACTTGTACAAAAGACTTTTCGCAACAGGCTTGTAGCAAGCTTGTTAACAAGTTGAGAAAATTCCGTTCCATCAACTTGTCAAAAAGACTTTTCGCAACAGGCTTGTAGCAAGCTTGTTAACAAGTTGACAAAATTCCGTTCCATCAACTTGTCAAAAAGACTTTTCGCAACAGGCTTGTAGCAAGCTTGTTAACAAGTTGAGAAAATTCCGTTCCATCAACTTGTCAAAAAGACTTTTCGCAACAGGCTTGTAGAAAGCTTGTTAACAAGTTGAGAAAATTCCGTTCCATCAACTTGTCAAAAAGACTTTTCGCAACAGGCTTGTAGCAAGCTTGTTAACAAGTTGTGAGAATGCTGTTCCATCAACTTGTCAACCTTGCAACAAGTCTGATAAGATCAACAAAGTTGTCAACAGCTTTTTCCAAACTTGTTGACAACTTGGGACAAGCAGACCTAACACAATTTATTGACGTATTGTTGACAAACGTGCTACAAGATGTGAGATTTTTTCGTTTGTACAAGGTTGACGACAAACGGTTGTAACAATATTGTTATATCATGACTGTATGGGTCTCATGTAAACGGGGGCTAACGGAGCTAAGAACTTCACTGACTTACCCGTACAAGTCCAGCTTCTGGCATAAAAGATCTGAACATCGCCTCAAAGTAACTAAAAAAAGAAAATAAGCGTGATACACAACTTGCTTACTAGACATTTGTGGAAATGAAATAGAGACCAATTATGAGGCAAGCTGAACCGTAATTATCTATTACAGTCCAGCCACTATTGCTCGGCAATCGACGCTATCTTGGTTGATTTTCAAAAACATACGTGCCCCTAAAAATCTATACTGTCTATTCTTTGTCGTATTGTGCCAGAAATCGTAAACTATCCGTAATACAGTAAGATGTTTTCAAAACAATTAAAGTAACTCAACTATTTCGATGTAAACGGCTGGACAAAACTTTAAAATCAACCAAGATGGCGCCTAGGCCAAAAAAAATATGTGGTTTTCCGGTTTCTTCTTATAAAAACTTAGGTAGGGTAGGTCGGTTTTAACTTTTTTTTTTAAACTTTTTTTTTTAATTTTCCGAACAAGCGGACGCCATTTTGTTTAGTCATTGCTTCCACATCCAAAGATAAATTTCCCTAATATTGCCTCAAATTTCAATTTTCCACAAACTTTTTCCTCTAAGTGGAAACACTGACAAGCATGATCCAAGAAAAAAGTTTAGGGTCGGGATTTCGACGTCCAAAAGCTAGGTAGGGTCGGGAAACCCACATATTTTTTTCCCCTATGACACGTAGTAGTGTCATGTACAAGCAAAGAATTAAGAGGATACCTTTTCTTTGCTAAGACAACAGAAGTATTTTTTGTACACTTGTCAAGTTATCCTTGGCGGCTGTACACACGATAACAAATTTTCCTGGTCCAAAAGCTGGGGTGGCTAGCTTTGGAACAAGGATCTTTGGCTAGGACGATTTGTCTATTTTTTGCCGTAAACACGAGCAAATAAAATTTGTTATAAAAACTTACATTTCTGTATGAGACTTTAAAAGTTCGTGTTTAAATTGAAGTTTGACAAATTTTCGACTTACCTACAACGCGCTGTGAGAATTGCCTAAAACGAAATTCGAGAGAAAAAATGTCACTACATTGAACTTGCTGGACCTCTAGGGAGAACAGTTTAGAACAGATAAAGATATCCAGTATAAATAAAGTTAGTTTAGTTTAGGTTTCCTCCTGTAGTAACATTGGATCAATAAGAGATGATCTTTACTGGACCTCTAGGAAGAACAGTTTAGAACTGATAGAGCTATCCAGTATAAATAAAGTTAGTTTAGTTTAGGTTTCCTCCTGTAGTAACACTGGATCAATAAGAGATGATCCTTACTGGACCTCTAGGAAGAACAGTTTAGAACTGATAGAGCTATCCAGTATAAATAAAGTTAGTTTAGTTTAGGCTTCCTCCTGTAGTAACACCAGATCAATAAGAGAAGACCGTTACTGGACCTTTAGGAAGAACAGTTCAGAACTGATAGAGCTATCCAGAATAAATAAATAAACTTAGTTCAGTTAAGGGATCATCCTGTAGTAACACTGCATGATCAATAAGAAATGATCCTTACTGAATAAAGCTATGCAGTATAAACAAAAAGTTGGCTTATTCTAGTTTGCTGGCTAACACGAGATGGTTTTACTTGTCAGTGTGAAATCGGAAAAAAAGAAGAGATCATTATATATAACTACCTTGTGTGATCTGATGTGTGTTTCACCGACAACCATAGTAATATCACACAAATTTCCATCACATGAGTCATTCCAAAATGTCTTCAAGTCATCTTCCAGAGAAGACACTGGAAAATTGATAGAGATAAGTTTTGTCTTTTCCATTTCATTAAAAACATAAACGCACTATTTTCGCAATTTGCGGCCGTCTTATGAGGACTGCTTTAAGCTTATTTTTTGCACTGTTGTAACAGAATTTTGCACTGATGTAATTGGGATTGTAAATAATCACAGTCGAGTGACATTTATATAGGTATATTATTTTTACAACAAGACTCCTTTCCTGTCTTGAGAAATCACTCGCTGAGACCTAAATATTTGAATTACTGCTTATATGAAAACTATCTCTTCATGATGAGCTGAATATTATCGCCGCTTACCAGAATGAACAGTTAAGTGTTGCGGTTCAGGAACAGATGTCTAGAAAAAGATCGAATTGAAAAAATGAAATTGGAATAAATAGGCAGTCCCAAAAAATGCAGTTGCTGTGTTCCAGATTTTCACACAGCTAATTATCAGTGAGCATCGAAAATTATTTTGACGTTGTTTTTGAACACATTGCAGTAAGTAGGAAATGCTAATATATTTGTGAAACTTTGCTATTATAAATAAAGTAAGCTTAGTTTAGGTTTCCTCCTGCAGTAACACTGGGTCAATAAAAGGCGATCCTTACTGGAACTCCAGGGAGAACAGAGCTGTCCAGTATAAATAAAGTTAGTATAGTTTAGGTTTCGTCCTGTAGTAACACTGGATCAATAAGAGATGATCCTTACCGGACCTCCAGGGAGAACAGTTTAGAACTGATAGAGCTATCCAGTATAAATAAAGTTAGTTTAGTTTAGTCTTCTTGCTGTAGTAACACTGGATCAATAAGAGATGATCCTTACTGGACCTCTAGGGAGAACAGTTTAGAACTGATAGAGCTATCCAGTATAAATAAAGTTAGTTTAGTTTAGTCTTCTTGCTGTAGTAACACTGGATCAATAAGAGATGATCCTTACTGGATCTCTAGGAAAACAGTTTAGAACTGATAGAACTATGCAGTAGAAATAAAGTTAGTTTAGTTTAGGTTTCTTCCTGTAGTAACACTGAATCAGTAAGAGATGATCCTTACTGGACCTCTAGGAAGAACAGTTTAGAACTGATAGAGCTATCCAGTAGAAATAAAGTTAGTTTAGTTAAGGTTTCCTCCTGTAGTAACACTGGATCAATAAGAGATGATCCTTACTGGACCTCTAGGAAGAACAGTTTAGAACTGATAGAGCTATCCAATTTATAAACTTTAGATTTAGTTCATAAAGTCTAGTTTACTCTAACAGACCTTGGTTCAAACACAGGAGGCCCAGGCTCGATTTGCCCGCGCCCGCCTGTGCCTTCCTTATAACGAGGGAAGGACGGAGACATTGAGACCAAAATAGCCCAGACTTGGCATATGTCACACGAAACTATCCTCGATTTTTCGCTTTTAATGCATTTCTTTCACGATTAATCGATATCTCCTGCAAGAATGATACCGTATAACTCTCAAAACAACGATGCTTTAATCAAAGAGTTTAAATTCGCTCTGAAATCCGTGAGGGAATAACAAAATTCGGCCAAAATATATCCGCGTGCCGGGTTTGCTGTGCAAAAAGCGGAAGTCGTTGAACAACTAAAAATACACTCAACCCTGATTGGACAACGAATATCAACAAACATTTCAAATTTTTTTAACAAACACAATGTGAAATACAATTTATTATACATATTAACGTACTACAGTTATATTTACATGCAGTAATATTTACACTTTATAACGTTTGTGAATAGTTTTGATTGCATGATTGAAATTATTACAGTAGGCCTACTGTTAAAAAAATTTGAAATGTTTGTTGATATTCGTTGTCCAATCAGGGTTGAGTATATTTTGAGTTGTTCAACGACTTCCGCTTTTTGCACAGCAAACCCGGCACGCGGATATATTTTGGCCGAATTTTGTTATTCCCTCACGGATTTCAGAGCGAATTTAAACTCTTTGATTAAAGCATCGTTGTTTTGAGAGTTATACGGTATCATTCTTGCAGGGGATATCGATTAATCGTGAAAGAAATCCATTAAAAGCGAAAAATCGAAGATAGTTTCGTGTGACATATGCCAAGTCTGGGCTATTTTGGTCTCAATGTCTCCGTCCTTCCCTCGTTATAAGGAAGGCACAGGCGGGCGCGGGCAAATCGAGCCTGGGCCTCCTGTGGTTCAAATGATGAACACTCACCTCAGGAAAATGACGACGTCGTACAATTTCAACCATCAAAGGGTTTGGTACAGTTTCAAATTGTTGGGTCATAATGATTGTCTTGAAGTTTGAACCACGCACGATGAAACGCAGACAGTAATCCTAAAACAGACAGTAATCCTTTGCTTCGTCATTTACTCTGCTTTGGCATTCGCGCCAGGATGCAATTATCAACAGTTATCGAGTTGATGATATTTCGGAACTGAGTCTAGTTCCTTCGATAGCAGTGTATTCTAAGTACTGTTTAATAAACGAGTAGGAGTGTTTTATCACATATAAAACACGACGCGTAGCGGAGTGTTTTATATGTGATAAAACACGACTACAAGTGCTTTAAATGGCTTAAAAAACGACTCATCTTATACGAGTTCGTTGGCGAAGTAATTTTTAAAATAAACTTTGTCTAAACCGAGAAAATCAAAGCTAAAGTTTATGTAAATTAACATGATTTTTTATCACATATAAAACCACGACACGCTTATGATTTTTCTTTGTGTTTTGCTCCTGAATTATTAATGAGTTTTTTAAGATATGATATTTGATCTTAGAATATCTTAGAATACACTGGCATCGAAGGAACTAGACTCAGTTCCGAAATATCATCATCTTGAACCGACTTGACCGCGTAGCTCAGTTGGCAGAGCATTCATGAATTAGTATCCCAAAGGTCCCGGGTTCGATTCCCACCGTGGCCAAGCAAATTTTTCAGCTTGCCACACTCAGAGTAACATCACAAACATATTATTCTACTCTGCATCACTTTTTTGTAATTTGACATCTAATGGTCATCCCATGCATATCTTGCCAAATATCTTTCAAAATACAACTTTACCTTCAACGCGGTCAGGTCCAAGCGAGATGCACACCCCAGGGCCATCAAAACGTTGCTTTGGTTAATAGAGGTTTCAATATACTGAACACAAATTTGTTCCAGTCTGCCAAGTTCAAGCTTAAACAAAAAAATAGATTGCTTATACAATAGTAAATGGGTTCTTCGTCGGTACGAATTACGAACAAGAATTTATGTACAGTTTTAGATGAGCTACAGAGTGGAGTTAGGACGGTAGAAATCGAATGATATGGACATGTAATAAGTTGTAAGAGTTGGTCAGAGACATTATGGAATGAAGAGATCAGAAGATGTGAAGTGATAGATATTGCAGAGAAGGTGAGGGAACAAGGCTGAGATGGTATGGACACACGTAATAAGAAGAGATGAAGGAGAGCTGGTCAGATACATTATGGAATGGAGAGATCAGAAGATGTGGAGTGGTAGACATTGCAGAGAAGATGAGGAAATTGGGGTGGTATAGACACGTAATAAGAAAAGATGGAGAGCTGGTCAGAGATATTATGGATTGAAGAGATCAGAAGATGTGGGGTGGTAGACATTGCAGAGAAGGTGAGGGAACAAGGCTGAGATGGTATGGACATGTAATAATAAGAGATGAAGGAGAGCTGGTCAGATACATTATGGAATGGAGAGATCAGAAGATGTGGAGTGGTAGACATTGCAGAGAAGATGAGGAAATTGGGGTGGTATAGACACGTAATAAGAAAAGATGGAGAGCTGGTCAGAGATATTATGGATTGAAGAGATCAGAAGATGTGGGGTGGTAGACATTGCAGAGAAGGTGAGGGAACAAGGCTGAGATGGTATGGACATGTAATAATAAGAGATGAAGGAGAGCTGGTCAGATACATTATGGAATGGAGAGATCAGAAGATGTGGAGTGGTAGACATTGCAGAGAAGATGAGGAAATTGGGGTGGTATAGACACGTAATAAGAAAAGATGGAGAGCTGGTCAGAGATATTATGGATTGAAGAGATCAGAAGATGTGGGGTGGTAGACATTGCAGAGAAGGTGAGGGAACAAGGCTGAGATGGTATGGACATGTAATAATAAGAGATGAAGGAGAGCTGGTCAGATACATTATGGAATGGAGAGATCAGAAGATGTGGAGTGGTAGACATTGCAGAGAAGATGAGGAAATTGGGGTGGTATGGACACGTAATAAGGAAAGATGGAGAGCTGGTCAGAGATATTATGGATTGAAGAGATCAGAAGTTGTGGGGTGGTAGACATTGCAGAGAAGGTGAGGGAAGCAAGGTTGAGATGGTATGGACATGTAATAAGATATGAAGCAGAACTGGTCAGAGACATTATGGAATGAAGAGATCAGAAGATGTGGGGTGGTAGACATTGCAGAAAAGGTTAGAGAAGCAAGGTTTTTATTTATTTATTTAGCTTTGCCAACTAGGGCAGGGTCACCACAACAGCATATGCCAATTACTGTGGGCCCTTTTTACCTAACCCACCCTGTCAACTTTCCCTGTGGGAGGAAACCGGAGTACCCGGGGAAAACCCACGGCTTTCGGCAGAGCGTTGACTTTTACTCTTTTCACATGGGGACTGGGTTCGAGTCGCACCGAGAAGGTACTTAGTGAGACTCGAACCTGCAGCCTCAGAGGTGAAAGGCAAGTGCGCTAACCACTTGGCCACCGAAGCCCCTTAAGGTTGAGATGGTATGAACACGTAATAAGAAGAGATGAAGGAGAGCTGATCAGAGACATTACGGAATGAAGAGATCAGAAGATGTGGAGTGGTAGATATTGCAGAGAAGATGAGAGAAGCAAGGTTGAGATGGTATGGACATGTGATAAGAAGAGATGAAGGAGAGCTGGTCAGAGAGATTATGGAATGAAGAGATCAGAAATTGGGGGGGGGGGGGTTAGATATTGCAGAGAAGGTGGGAAATTGAGGGGTTATGGATACGTAATAAGAAGAGATGAAGGAGAGCCAGTCACAGACATTATGGAGCTGGGTATGACAGATGGCGGGAAAGACCAAAGAACAGATAGAGGGAGTTTGGGAAACAGAAGATCTAAATATTAAGGAACTGATGCGACAGTCTGGAACTACAAGACAGTATAAAAGATAGTCCACCTTTAACGCAACACAATAAACATCCATGATGATACGAATCACTTCGAGTTCTGGAACATCTAGAAACACAGCAGAACATTATTATCATCGGCGTTTGTATGTATCTGTATGTTATCTGTCTGTGTGTATGTGTTTGTCCACTATGGTCAGTGTGGATTATAACGTTTTTGCTTAGGTCTGACAAATGTCCGATCAACAAGATTGTTGCTCGGACATTGAAAAAGAATGGTCGGCCAACTATTTCAACCATTTTTACGAAAAAATAAAACATCTTTTTGTAAGTAGTGAGTATTGGAAACGCTATAGACTTACGATCGAGATTCTGTCACTTGAGAGAGTATTTGCCAAAAGAGAAGCTCAATGACAATGTTTCCTCTGAATGCTTTTTTCATCCAAATATTTGATTGCATGGTACACTACTAGGTATAGTATGCTTTTCAAACAGTACTTTTTACATAAGCTACTTTCAATTAAAATGAACATCGTCTCTTTTATTTGATCGGTCAAAATGTCCGTGCAGAATGAAATTGATCGGTCACTCGGTGTTTTTGTTTGGCAAATAGCCGACTGCCGACCGTTATAATCCACACTGACTATGGTTTGTCTGACAGTACGATAACTCGGCTGTCGCTTCCTGGAATGAAAAATTCCATCTTTTCACCTCATGAAATTACCATTGCACTCATAAACATTCATTATTTGTGCACCATACGAAAACCCAGCACTCGTGATGGTATCGTAGTCGCCACGCTTGCCTTTCAGGCTTGGGAAACCGGGTGCAATCCTTGGTCGGACCTCTACTCAAGGTCTTACAGGTAAACTACGTGAAGCGTTCCTCTTTTGACTTCGTAACTCATTTGGAATTTTCCTCATTAGCTTTGCAAATTTGAAAAACTCTTTGCAAATCCCTTGAGGGAATTTGCAATGTTCCTATCGGCTGTTGCAATATTCCAAACTTCATTTTAAATTTTCCTAACTTCCTGTTTTAATTTCCTGACTTCTTGTTCTGTTCTGAGCATTGTTATTGGTGGATTATTTTTGTTAGCCAATTGCAACGCCCAGAACAGAACAGAACAGGAAGTTAGGAACTTGTAACAGGAAGTTAAGAACTTCTAACAGGAACTGAGGAAATTTTTTTTGCCTTTGCAACATTGCAAATTCCCTCAAGGGATTTGCAAGGGAGTTTTTTAAATTGCAAAAGTAATGAGGAAAATTGCAATCAATTTGGAAACTCAAAGGAGGAACGCTTCACGTAGTTTACCTGTAAAATAATTGAGGAGAAAGTGCTACATTTACATTGACATCAGTAAATTATTATTATTATTAAATTTGTCACAATATTTACAAAGACACTGATAGACAATATATATAACATGCTACAAGACTATACAAGTGACTGGAATGTGGAACAGGACTGACGTCCCAATTAATACCTCACCCCCATATGACTATACTGTCTATACAAACTGACATAGGCACTTTCTCGAAGTGTTGCTCAAATATTGATTCAATACATTACCTCGGGCTGACCAATTCATTTGATCAAGTTCCTCGAAATATTCACACACTTCCTAGTATAATTGTAAACTTCCTGTTGAATAGTTTGAATGCACCAATCACCTTTGTTGTTTGTGCAACTAACCAATCATAAATAGAAAGGAAGTGACCAGAAATGATCAAATTCTTGGAATTGGCTCTTTCACAGGAAGTGTATGAATATCTCGAGGAACTTGATCAAATGAATTGGTCAGCCTGAGGTAATGTATTGAATCAATATTTGAGCAACACTTCAATTGGAACGACAGTAACTGCGCTTAAACTGAAACTATACCTTTGACAAGGGCGTATATGGAATCGGTGTACATGAACCTCAAGGCAATCAAGAAAGCTTCAGGCTGGACATCATCGATGGTTATCTTAAGTTTTTCACTTGACGTGTCCGACGAATTAGTCTCGAGCTATATTCAAAGGACAAGTACATGGTAAATACAAGGTGGTTTTGGGCTGGGTTAAATTGCACTTGAACATGATCAGACTGGAATGGATTTAAACAAGATTTTCATCAGATTTAGATTTTAACTACATTAGATTTAGACTGTATTCGGACAGGATAAAGACTAGAGTTTGATTGAATTTAGATGAGATGTTGATTGGAGTTTAGAGCAGATTTCGGTTAGACTTTAACTGCATTAGATTTAGACGAGATTTGATTAAATTTAGATGAGATTTGGATTGGATTTAGAGGATATTTGAGTTGGATTTGATTGGATTTTGATTAAATTTAGATTAGATTTAGACGAGATTTTCACTAACTGCATTGGACACTACTTTTAGATTGGATTTTCACTGAACTGGATTTAAACTTGACTTCGATTGTGTTGAAACAGAGCTTGAATTAAGGCGATCCAAATTTCATACGGAACATTCAATTGGACTACACAGAAGCCTTTTGACCATCTCATGCATGTTCATTATTTTAATAAAAGTTGATACCTTTTTAACTTGTTCGATTTTCTTTTTGAGCCAGCTTGAACGACATGCCACGACGGTTGTGTGAGCATCTATTTCAGTATCTTCCTGTATAATACGAAATAATAATATTCAGCCGTTCCGCACGTTGTAATCAATAATCCATTGTCGTTGTAAAGCAATTGTATGCAATAAAGTATTGACGCAGAGGTATTGGCTTGTAATGGGTCTACAATTACAATACCCTTAATCGAAATGCTAATCCTAACATTGATCTAGGTGGAATCTCCGTTAAGTGGGATGAAATTTTCCTTATGAAAGCTTTATTACCTTTCCAACGATAAATGTGAGGTCACAAAATTGTTTGCTATCAAGTAATCTTCCAAAATCATCTCGCAAAGTACATCTTGGATAACTAGAGAACTATAAAAATATACATCATTAAACTAACTTTATTCATACTGGATAGCTCTATCAGTTCTAAACTGTTCTCCCTAGACGTCCAGTAAGGATCATCTCTTATTGATCCAGTGTTACTACAGGAGGAAACCTAAACTAAACTAACTTTATTTATACTGCATAGCTCTATCAGTTCTAAACTGTTCTCTCTAGAGGTCCAGTAAGGATCATCTCTTATTGATCCAGTGTTATTACAGGAAGAAACCTACACTAAACTAACTTTATTTATACTGGATAGCTCTATCAGTTCTAAACTGTTCTCCCTAGAGGTCCAGTAAGGATCATCTCTTATTGATCCAGTGTTACTACAGGAAGAAACCTACACTAAACTAACTTTATTTATACTGGATAGCTCTATCAGTTCGAAACTGTTCTCCCTAGAGGTCCAGTAAGGATCATCTCTTATTGATCCAGTGTTACTACAGGAAGAAACCTACACTAAACTAACTTTATTTATACTGGATAGCTCTATCAGTTCTAAACTGTTCTCCCTAGAAGTCCAGTAACGTTATCTCTTATTTATCCAGTGTTGCTAAAGGAGGAAACTAACTTTATTCATGCTGGATAGCTCTATAAGTTCTATCAAATCTGACAAACTTAATTTGCATTCACTCCTCCCTTTAAAAATAGCCTTACTTGAAAACGATACATTTCCCCATTTCGGATGTTGTTGTCCAGAGTCCCGCCAAAAATATACATTGCGTCATCAATGACGTCAGCAGCATGGAACAGCCTGCCATGAGGAACCTAAAAATAGAGAAAAATATTTTAACATTGTGACCAGATTTGGTAAACTATTTTACCATCGGTAAAATTTCGCCACTTTTGGAAAAATTTTAGTAATGAGGTTTTTTAGTAAAACATTTAGAGGTTTTAATAATTCAGTAAATTTTTGGAAAAAGTCGTGTTTGAATGCTATCTTGAGTAATGGAGACGCTAAAAGCGATTAAAAACTCTAGATAATTACCTGACTATCTTCGGAAACTTCAACAATATGCCATGTTTGGTCGTCAAGATCATAACTATTTAAGAAAACAACGTACTCTCTATTTTAGTTTGGTTTTCAGTTACCCATTAATTGAAGGTGAATATGAACAGGAAACCTAAACTAAACTAACTTTATTTATACTGGATAGCGCGATCAGTTCTAAACTGTTCTTCCAAGAGGTCCAGTAAGGATCATCTCTTATTGATGCAGTATTACAACTGGAGGAAACCTAAACTATAAACTAACTTTATTTATACTGGATAGTTCTATCAGTTCTTCCTAGAGGTACAGTAAGGATCATCTCTTATTGATCCAGTATTATTACAGGAGGAAACCTAAACTAAACTAACTTTATTTATACTGGATAGTCCTATCAGTTATACTTTAATTGAACATCAACTGCAATGGCTCTTAAAACATACCAGTATAAATCATTGGGTAGTATATTATCGGCAGTTCCACCAAACACATACAGATACGACTCGTGGGCAACCATCGTGTGACCATAACGCCGCTGAGGAGAGGGTGGGGAACCTCGCAAGATATGAGCGTTAGATATACGTCGCCATCTAAACAAAACACGGAATCATTTTAATTTAGTTTGTATGTATATAGAGAGGATATTATACGGCGGCGCGAAGATACGACTTTTATCTTCGAGTGGTGAAAACAATATTTTTAACGCGATTAAAAAGTATATTCTCATTACACAATAACAAGAAAATGTTGCCTAGCAACAATACCAATTTTCAGTTTTGCCGACTGCAAAATTATGGAAAAAAACACGCTGAAAAATTTATGTATTTGAATTTATTGAATTATTTATCAGCTTTACAGTGACAACAGGAGAAACAAATAGGGCAAAGCCCCAATTGACATCAAAATCCTGATGGCTAAAAAACATGATAAAATATTAAATTAGTGGAATATATTACAGTAATTAGTCTAAAATTAGTAAGTACGTCTTTCGTCTGGAAGAATATAAGAATCAAGTTTCATCGTATAATAGTCTGAGATAGCTTTTTTAAAAGTTACCAAGTTTGTTGAACTTTTGATATCTAGTGGTAGTAAGTTTCAGGTGGAAATAGGAGTATTTTATGTAATTTTGAGTTGCTCGCTGTGTCTTGTAATTCAGGGAAGAAAAGTTACGGGTAATTACACGATATTGGGCAGAGCACTGTTGTAGGGAGGGATGATCTAGAACTATTAAGCCTAGTCTGTGTTTGAATAAAAAAATCGTGTCTTTCGAATCTCTTCTATACTCCAAAGGTAATTAACAACCAAATGGAAGATATATTATATTTGATGTTTATTGAAACTCTCTTGCAGTATATTTACACTGAATTAACGACTCCAAAGTATTATACTAAAACTATATTTACATAAATACATACAGTTGTTAAAACTATGTATAAACATTAGAAATATTTAAAAGTAAATAATTGTTCAGATCTTAAAGTTCTGCATTTAGTTGTGTTCTTAAATAAAATAGTATTGTCTTGTCCATTTCGTAGGCTATACCTGCATTCCCTCATCTTATGTTTTGGGAGCATAAAATGCAGGGGATGATCCTCTTTCTTCATTTTAGTCGTATATTTTTTACATAACAGTTCGCGTCTGCTCTCCAATGTTGGTATCTGTGCCATCATCATCGCCTCATTATAATTATCTATGGAAGGGAAGATGATCTGAAGTGCCCTTGTCTTTATTGATTCTATCCTTTCACTTAAATAGTCAGGGATCGCTTGCCATATTGGAACAGCATATTCCAATACGGGTCTGATAGTAGTTAGATACTTTTAGTATATTCCTTTGCTCAACGCCAAGCTCTACAAAGTACGCGGAGGGAATATAACTTCTTATACAAGCTCTTTTGTAGATATAATCAACATGTTTATTCCACTTGAACATGGGACAACTTTTTTACTGAACTTACACATCCGTCCTTACTTAATCTATGATAAAGGTTAACTCGGTTTTTGCAACGTCACTGTGTTGCCATGGCAACCTGGCGAAGATATAAAACCTGCTTATTTTAGCCACAAAATTGTCTTTATGTAAGAAATGAACTCGGTGACCTATCTTTCTTATTTCATATATCATTCAAAAACTCATTAATAATTCATGAAGCAATTATCCAATCTTGAGTAAGAAATTAGTCACGTGCATACGTCTTTATACTAGCTAAAGAACACTTTAACAAAAGACCATTGTTATGCAAACTATATGTAAAGATTTTTATATAAAGATTTTTATATAAAGATTTGACTTATTATGCAAACGTTTTTGAAGCCATTTAAAAAACTCGCAGGTCGTGTTTTATTACGTCTAAAGCCACTCGCGCTGCGCGCTCGTGGCTTTAAACCTAATAAAACACTCCTGCTCGTTTTTTAAATAGTACATAGAGCATTGCTTCTTGGCTAGTTTTTTGGTCTAGTGATATTCGTATCAAGTGTCAACATTAATATCATAGTTTTTCGCAATATGCCCTTCGTCAATATTACATGTAATATATATCTGATAAATTGCACGTAATTATATATATCTGATAAAGCACACCTGCCCGTGTTTTAACTTTTAAATAGTACGTAAATAGCAGTTCGAATAAAAATTAATGTGTATTGTAAGGCTTAATCCATGAATATAATTTATAGACCCTTTGCACATGACGTCACAGCGTCGGCGACGATGCATCTGGAGGACAAATTAGCAATCTATGCATAATATAACTTTTGTAAACAAAGTAAATTTTGCAAAAGTTTATAATAATTTTATATTAAAATGGTTAATTTTTGCGCTGTATGTGGTTGCTGTACCCGAACAGATATTGTTAGGAAGCATCCGGAGGACACTCTAAAGATTTGTGACGTCAGTGCAAAGGGTCTATAGCATAGATATCTTATATACACTAGATAGCGCATCTCTTTTAGTAAAATTGAAGCCAAGCAAGAATATTCCAGCGGTTATTCCCATTTGAATATATGGCGGCCATGTTGGTCGTTCCCACTCGCTAATAAACGCTTAAAAACAACAATAACTTTCATCATTTGAATAGTTTAAAAATGTATTTGGAATAGGGTTAACTTAATGTTTAGGGTTGTTTACCATTTACATGTAAAACCCAACGGGTTTGAAATTGTGCTAATGGTAAGCAAAATTTCGGATAGAAAATCCCATTCGGATTATTCGCTTTCCATTTAATAATTTCAATTGTTAAATCGCGAAGAGCCTGGAACTGGTGAAAAAATTTAAAAATGTAAATGGAACAACATTTACCGGTTGAAAATTTCCAATCGGTTAGAGAGGACAACCTTTTCAAACAAACCGTTTATTCCGGAAAAGTTCCGGTTGGGCCGTCGAAACATGCTTCTTCCATTTACTTTCCGTATGGAATCACCGGAATTTCCATGTAAATGGTAAACAACCTAGGTTCCCTGTTTAAGAAATAGAAAACATACGAGTCTTCTGATTTCATGGGAACGACCTGAGACTGCAATCACGGCTTCAATTTTTGAATTGCAGAATAATTAGATGCACTATCTAGTGTATATAAGATATCTATGGTCTATAGCCGTCTTTGTCAAAAGCGTTGGCGTTTTGTTTCCCAAACTACTCATACTCGCGGTCACTATATTCTATATAACCATGCAATGTGCACATGCAAAACCATTATCATGAAATAACATATTTTCATTCGAATTTGTACACACCTCCGATTATGGCCAAAAAATGTAAACATGCATATATTTCAGAGAAAAGTAGGAATACGTTCATGCACACCAAATATGCAAATATGAATATCAGATTGATAGAGCAATTACAGCGATAACGGAGCGGTTCAAAAGACTATATCGCATTGCTCTCAAACAAGTTGGGCCATACACCTGCTTTCAATTTGTGGTAATGGGATATTAAAACGAAACACGCCTCCCAATTTTCGACAATCGTTGCCCCAAATAAAATGGTTTGAAATTTTTCCGAGAACGCGGCAACATCAGAAAACAAAATTAATTTATAAAAAAAAAAGAAAAGAAATACATTTTTGTAATCGGTCCAAAGCAAACATTATAGTAAACTTTATTTGCGCATTAAAATTATTTATGTTTCTTTCAACAATTCTTACAGGTAAGTAGCAATAATCAGTATATATATTCACATAAAACACTCGGAACGACTTCGAACGTTTAACTATATATTGGCGTCGTTATGAGCTATGAATATGATAAAAATAACGTATAGCAGTTTAAATAAATCGGCGTATATATAGGCTACTAGAATGCTCAAGCGAATACAATATATAGTCGCTTTCGTCTTGCAGTAAAATTTTATTAGGCTACTAAAGTGTGTATAATTAAATCTATACCATATACACAATACTTCGCAAAACAACACGCCAAAACTGGTCAGCTATTTTTGACACAACCTATGAGTCTATGAGTTCGTTGTATTCACATTTACTATGACTAAGATATTGTTAGATAAGCCGTGAGAAAACAGCATAAGGAAAAATTAAAATCCTGAAATGCAACGAGTTTCCTTCAAACGCTAAGTTTTTTTTTGAAGAAAGATCATAAGTGCAGCTAGGATTGAAACCGTCGACATACTTTAATGCTTTTCACAACTTTCCATCCTTCCGTACGTAAAACTTTGTTTTTCCAGTAAAAGATTAAACAGTTAAATGTACAATTCATCAAGGCCATGGTTCTAGCCCAGAACACCGAAAGGTTTGCATTATCCAAAGTATATGCTGTTTCTGTCGAATGTATTCTAAGTCCAATGTAGACGGCCAATGGAATGGATAACAGCACAACACAAGCGACTACGAGCAAGCAACTCGATACGTTTTTCAAAGAGAACGTCTTTTTCATATCGGGTGACATTCTTTTGTTTTTATGACTTTTCCTGACGACTAGAAACAGTTTGTAGTTGATAAATAACATTGGAGGAATGAGAAGAATACAAATAATAACGTCATGCACTTGTTTGGAAATAACAAAATCGTTTACAGACATCGCTCTCAAAATTACTTCGACGATGATCAGTATTGCAAGAAGAGTTAAGAGTCTTCCCTTCGTTACCGATGTTCGATGAAAGATAGGATAAGATGTCGCCAAATATCGATCAAAATTCAATACCAAAAGAGCGGATACTGAAAAAACAAAGAAAGTAGTGGTCGAATTTATGGAAATATGAACCCATCTAGCATTTACATCCAACTTTCCCGTCAACCATAGCATTACGACAGAGGCCATGATTGGACTATTAGTTATAACCGCGAACAAATCGCAACAGGACAAAACCATTATCATGAAATAACATAATTTCTTTCGAAGTTGTACAGATCTCCAGAAACTGAGTATGACCAAGGAATTTAAACATATTCCTGAGAAAAAGAAGAATACGTTCACAGCAAACATGAATATCAGATTGATAGAATAATTCGATTCCATCTTCGTGCGAGTTCTTCTGACGCGAGCAGAGCGTAAAATTAACGCAGTTGTGTTTTAAAGTATGGCATCTAAATTAAGACTACTGAGTACTGAACTCTGAAATGTGTAAATGACATGCATATATAGGTAATATTTATGCTAATCCAGCTCGAAACAACTATCGCGTTGAGGTCACACAAGGTGCCTACACCTGCCTTCAATTTGTGGCAATGACATACTTTTAAAACAAAACATACTTCCCAGTTTTCGGCAATGTTGTAAGATAAAATGGTTTGAAATTTTGCCGAGAACAGCAAGGTCAGAAACAAATACATTTTGTTTAAAATAGCTTAAAGGGGAATGGCAATATAAATTTTTATTTTCTCATTTGAAAAAACTTTTTTAAAATTATATATGAACTTCGATTTTTCATATCTTGCTTAGTTCTTGAAATATTTTCACTTGAAGTAATGAGATGTCCGCCATCTTCGATTGATCTCATCAACGGTAGTTTTGGTGACGTCACAACCGGGATTAACCATATAAAAGCATTCGTTGCTGACGAAATATTGATTGGTAGATGTTTTAAAGGTTTTGAGTGATCTTGATATTTCGAAAGGCAAACAGAGTATAGTTTTGAGTGCAAAATGATTACTGGTTGCCTAGATAAAAATATTGCGTGACCCCTGTTGTGACGTCACATGCATATCTACAAAAATTCAAGATGGCGGACATTTCATTCCTTTCGATCAAAATATTTGTAGAATGTTTGTGTGAAAATTATGCACTGAAAAACACAAGCCCCGACAAGCCACAACATTCTCTTCAGTACAGAACGTCTTATAACGCTCGGCCGACATCATTGACAGTGTCTGAACACTGATTTGGGTGAAATTCACGCAAAAATAATATTACAAAGTAATATCATGAAATGAGGAGTATTAGTCATGACCCTCGTCGAGCGGGTGGTTTAATGACTAATACTCCTCATTTCATGATATTACTTATAAGTGTATATCCACACCGGGCAGGCTTGAAAAATATGCCTGGCCACGGCGGGATTCGAACCTACGACCTTTGGAATACTAGCCCAATGCTCTTCCAACTGAGCTACGCGGTCAGGACGGTTCGAGTAAGCGATATTTCGGAACTGAGTCTAGTTCCTTCGATATCAGTGTAATCTAATATTTATGAAATCTGCTGTGTTGGTGTATTGTACTCAGGTGAATAAGATGTTTGTGTGATATTACTCTGAGTGTATATCCACACCGGGCAGGGGTACATTACACCAACACAGCAGATTTCATAAATATTAGATTACACTGATATCGAAGGAACTAGACTCAGTTCCGAAATATCGCTTACTCGAACCGTTCTGACCGCGTAGCTCAGTTGGAAGAGCATTGGGCTAGTATTCCAAAGGTCGTAGGTTCGAATCCCGCGGTGGCCAGGCATATTTTTCAGGCCTGCCCGGTGTAGATATACACTCAGAGTAACATCATACAAACATCTTATTCACCTGAGTACATTACACCAACACAGCAGATTTCATATTTGTAGAAGTAAGCAAGATATGAAAGAACGGTAAATTAGTATTATATATAGAGTCTTAAAAGTTCTTTCAAATTAGAAAATAAAAAAATATATTGCCATTTCTCTTTAAATGAAACTAAATGCATAGCCGAACATGTAGCAAGACCTAATTGGTAAATTTGGTAACGGACTTGTGGAAAATATTGAACTTTTTGGGCTTATTAATAGCATATTGCATATTGCAATAGGACTGTGAACTTGTAATGCATGGTATACTACTAATAATAAATCATAAATAATAAATAATAATAATAGACTTATTTACTGTTGTTCCAATTGAAGTGTTGCTGAAATATCGATTCAATACATTACCTCCGGCTGACCAATTCATTTCATCAAGTTCCTCGAGATATTCATACACTTCCTAGTATAATTGTAAACTTCCTGTTGAATAGTTTGAATGCACCAATCATGATCCTTTGGTTGTTTGTGCAACTAACCAATCATAAATAGAAAGGAAGTGACCAGAAATGATCAAATACTTGGAATTGGCTCTTTCACAGGAAGTGTATGAATATCTCGAGGAACTTGATCAAATGAATTGGTCAGCCCGAGGTAATGTATTGAATCAATATTTCAGCAACACTTCAATTGGAACGACAGTAAAGAAGGTATTACAAAACCAGTTCAGCATAGCTAATCTTACACTGGGCCTTCTATAACTATGACTATTAACGAACAAAAAAATATATTAGGTTACGTGGGAAAATAAAGATATATGCTATATACAATAGATTACATACGACTCCTTTTAAATTGTTTGTAAAAAGTATTGATATGTTCTTATTTTGAATGATGCTACCGAAGAAGATTTTCTTATCTCAAATGGTAAACTATTGTAGAGTGTTGCATCACTGTATGGTAGTGCCTGTATGGTATACTAATATACGATTGGGTGACTTTGGCTCCCTATCCCAAAATTAAAATAAATCGGGAACAAATAACGTAAAATTACTGTCGTTCCAATTGAAGTGTTGCTCAAATATTGATTCAATACATTACCTCGGGCTGACCAATTCATTTCATCAAGTTCCTCGAGATATTCATACATTTCCTAGTATAATTGTAAACTTCCTGTTGAATAGTTTGAATGCACCAATCACCTTTGTTGTTTGGGCAACTAACCAATCATAAATAGAAAGGAAGTGGCCAGAAATGATCAAATACTTGGAATTGGCTCTTTCACAGGAAGTATATGAATATCTCGAGCCTCGAGGAACTTGATCAAATGAATTGGTCAGCCCGAGGTAATGTATTGAATCAATATTTGAGCAACACTTCAATTTGAACGACAGTAAACAAATGTGAGAAAGTAACGAAACACTTCGCCACAAAATGAAAATAACGAAGTAAAACGTTACATCTTAAAACGACCTCGTTCCAAGTAAAAGCACTCCAGAAAAAAGTTTACTTTGTTACATGCTCACTTCTCAAAAATAGTGCTCAAGTACAGTAACGAAGTACATTTGTATACGTAATCATGCGATGGCGAGTACAATTTGGGATGAATAGTACGAGTGATGTTTGGAAATTTTGCCAAAATTGTACGAGCCGCCGGGGCGAGTATACAATTTGACAAATTCCCAAACATCACGAGTACTATTAATCCCTAATTGTACGAGCAACATCGCATGATTACTTGTTTATTATTGGCATGACAACAAAATTGGATACGTACTTCTCAATGTCAACATCACATTCTGTCGCCAAAGCCCAGTCCTGCCAGACTTTCAACCAAAAATTTGGTGCTTTTGTTTGTATTTTCATTTAGTTCTTTTGTTCAAGCAAAATTTGGTGCTTTTGTTCATATTTTCGTCGTGTTCCTCTAGTGTAATTTCATTTCACAATTGTGTTTAAAATACCTTTCCGCCATTTTGTTTGTTTTGGGAAAATCATTAATTGTAATGCAGTACAATTAATGAAATAATTGTACTCCTCTCAACCAATCAGCATCCAGTAATTTTGTCATGCTAATAATAAACTTCGTTACCTGACACCACCGCATTTGCAATGGCAAACCTGCGGCGCGTAAAAATTACATGTAATGTATATCTGATGAAGCACACCCGCTCGTGATTTAAATATTACGTAAATAGATACTATCGCATCGCTGTCATACAAGGTGGCTACACCTGCTTTCAATTTGTGGCAATGAGATATTAAAACGAAACACGCCTCCCAATTTTCGACAATCGTTGCCCAAAATAAAATGGTTTGAATTTTTTCCGAGAAAGGCGACATCATCAAACAAAATTAAATTAATATATCTACATTTTTGTAATCGATCCGATGTATAGCTACATTAGTAAACTTTATTTGCGCATTAAAATTACTTATCTTTCTCTTAAACAATCTTACAAGATGATTAAAATAATGTAGCATTCTTGTGATGTTACTCTGAGTGCATATCCACACCGGGCAGGCTTGAAAAATATGCCTGGCCACGGCGGGATTCGAACCCACGACCTTTGGAATACTAGCCCAATGCTCTTCCAACTGAGCTACGCGGTCAGGTCGGTTCGAGTATGTGATATTTCGGAACCGAGTCTAGTTCCTTCGATATCAATGCAATCTAATAATCATGATATTTGCTGTGTTGGTGTAATGTACTCAGGCCTGCCCGGTGTGGATATGCACTCAGAGTAACATCACACAAGCATCCTATTCACCTGAGTACATTACACCAACACAGCAAATATCATGATTATTAGATTACACTGATATCGAAGGAACTAGACTCAGTTCCGAAATATCACATACTCGAACCTACCCGACCGCGTAGCTCAGTTGGCAGAGTATTGGGCTGGTGTTCCAAAGGTCGTAGGTTCGATTCCCACCGTAGTCAGGCATATTTTTCAAGCTTGCCCGGTGTGGATATACACTCAGAGTAACATCACAAGCATCTTATATTCACCTGAGTACATTACACCAACACAGCAAATAAAATAACGCAGCAGTTTAATTAAACAAATACGGCGTATACTAGAATGCTCAAGCGTGAATACAATATATAGTCGCTTTTATCTTAGAGTAAAATTCTATTATTAAAGTGTGTAAAATTACATCTATATAAGCAATATTTAATGCAAAATAACATGCCAAAACTGGTCAGCTATTTTTTTGACACAACCTGTATATGATGATGATGATAAATGATGATAACTTTATTTAACCACGCTAACATTGTCAGCTGAAGCTGGTTTCCACAATGGGCGTGTAAAATATTTACAAATAGTTACAAGTATAATGAAAAGAATAGAGAATAAGCATGCAGATATAGATAAAAAATTCAAAAAGTATCTATTTACAAGATTTATGAATCATGTTATTTCAAAAGGTAAGGGTAGCGATTTTTCTTTTAAAACATGAAATCGATTTACTTTCTCTTATATATTGTGGTATGGAGTTCCAGATAGAAGCTCCATCGTATACATAAAACTCTTCTTCATATCGTTCGTATTTGGCTTTGGCAAACGTATCGAACTCGAGTTATCACGAAGATTGTGGTTTAATATTTCCGTTTTGAAAGTAAATAATTCTTTAAAGTGCCTAAGGTATCATGGTTTTGGAGTTTGCATATCTCGAAAGTTTAGGGTATTTTAAGACACTTTGCAAAATATTTTGTTATTGAAAAATTTCATCTTGATGGATTTATTAGCTCTTAAAGTTACCGGACATGACGTCAAAAGGAAAATTTTGTTGCAATGATACAAAGGAAAACTGATTTGCAATTCTCCTTTTGACGTCATGTCCGGAAACGTTAAAAGCTAATAAATCCATCAAGATAAAATTTTTTAATAACAGAATATATTGCAAAGTGTCTTCAAATACCCTAAACTTTCGAGATATGCAAACTCCAAAACCATGATATATAGGCACTTTAAGCGAATTTGGTCTCATGTCACTGAGCGCCCTAAACATAAGTTTTGCGTTGGCTTTTACTCTTTGTTGTTTGAGCGCTTCCCATCCTAATATATTCAGTACCGTTTGTTGATCTAACTCTTCATTTGGCACATGTGCTATAACACGTGCAGCTCTCTTATGAAGTTTTTGTAAAAGTATTGATCGAGTTTCGCCAAATACATTCCAAACTTCACAACAGTAGCTGAAATGTGGTTGAATTATAGCATTGTACACCGATATGAGTGTTTTCTGATCAACAAACTCTTTAATGTGCTTGAGAGCAAAAATCCCAGATGATATCTTCTTACATATTGTATCTGTATTTACTTTTCCAACAAAGACTTCCATCAAGAGTCACACCTAATGTTTTGCATTGAGAAACTGCAGTTGCTTTTTTAGTAATGGTTTAGTTCCAATAATTTGAAATTCGGTTTTCGCTACGTTCAAGCTCAGTTTGTTTGCCGTGAGCCATTTCCGAAGAGTTTCTAAATCCGAATTTACTGCATTTTCAATATCGGTTAAACACTCAACAGCTGCTGATGTGATATTAGTGTCACGACTGTCATCAGCAAACAGCCGCGGTTTTGTCTAATTTAGACATGCAGGTAAATCATTAATATATAGCAGAAAAAACAGTGGCCCTAGTATAGACCCATGGGCAACACCACATTTTATACCATTTTCAACCATTTTCACTTGAAATTGAGCCGTTAACCTCACATCTTTGTGTACGATAAGTTAAATACGACTTTTAAAGCAGTAACAATGCATTTCCTGTGATTCCAATATGCATTAGTTTTTCTAATTAAGATTTCATCGTCAACAGTATCAAAGGCTTTTTTTAGGTCTACAAATACAACCAAATTGAATAATTGTTTCATATTAATCTGACACTGCAATCGAGCAACGAAAAATTCGTTGGCTCGAGCGGGATTTGAACTCGCATCTTCGGGTACCTAGACCGCCGCTCTACCTATTGAGCTATCGAGTGAACGGGGATTGGTATAGCGAGTCTTATCCAATTTAAGAGCACGAAATATTTCCGTGACGACTTAACGCTTGTCTTAGAGGACGCGCAGTGTTTCAATTCTATTTCAGAACCATCCTCAGAGATGCGAAAAACTAGTTTCATATTAATCTGACACTGCAATCGAGCAACGGATTAATATGAAACTAGTTTTTCGTATCTCTGAGGATGGTTCTGAAATAGAATTGAAACACTGCGCGTCCTCCAAGACAAGCGTTAAGTCGTCACGCAAATATTTCGTGCACTTAAATTGGATAAGACTCGCTACCAATCCCTGTTGACTCGATAGCTCAATAGGTAGAGCGGCGGTCTAGATACCCGAAGATGCGAGTTCAAATCCCGCTCGAGCCAACGAATTTCTCGTTGCTCGATTGCAGTGTCAGATTAATATGAAACTAGTTTTTCGTATCTCTGAGGATGGTTCTGAAATTGAACAATTGTCTGTCCATGTTAATGTACCAATCATTTGTACAATCAAGTAGCGCTGATGCAGTTGAATGAAATTTTCTGAAACCATTTCAGAGAGTAAGTTGTTTGCAGTCAAATATTCATAAAGTTGAGTATGTAAGATGCGCTCCATAACTTTACTAATGGCAGGCAAGACAGAAATTGCTCGATAATTTCCTGGCAAGTTTCGTTTGCCGTTCTTGAAAAGGGGAATTACTCTTGCAATCTTTCACTCATGTGGAAAAATACATAGGGCAATTGTTTGATTAAAAACGTAAGTCAATGAATCAGAAATCAATGGTGCTGTAATATTAATTATCTTGCTTGATATTTTATCCAGGCCAGTAGCTTTGCTACCAGATAGTTCACGTAGTAATAGACAAACATGGTTTACAGAAACTGATTTGAATGCAGTAAATTCAGAATTAGTTTTGTCAAGGTAGTCTTCAAAATGGCATTCTGTTGAACCAACTTTTTCAGCTAAATTTGGTCCAATGAATATTTGAAAAGAAAGTATTGAAGCCCTCAGCAATATCATTGGGGCTAGTCAATTTCATATCATTTACGTTTAATTCATTTACTTTAGTTGGTTGATTATATTTACCAAGCAAAGTAAGTCCTTTCAAATTTCCCACATAGTGCTAGGATTGTGTGCAAAAAAGTAGACATGCTCCCAAGATTGAGTTCCTAAGTCATGCAAAAATTTTTCTTCACTGCATGAATTTTTTCATGTTTCTAATTTCAATAATATTTTGATTTACTTCATGGCTTATATTACTTATACGAGTTTAGAGTTCGTTGTATTCACATTTACTATGACCAAGATATTGTTAGATAAGCCATGAGAAAATAGTATAAGGAAAATTTAAGTCCTGAAATGCAACGAGTTTCCTTTGAACGTTAAGGTGTTTGGAAGAAGGGTTATAAGTGCAGCTAGGATTGAAGCCGTCGACATACTTTAATGCTTTTCACAACTTTCCATCCTTCCGTACGTAAAACTTTGTTTTTCCAGTAAAAGATTAAACAGTTAAATGTACAATTCACCAAGGACATGGTTTTAGCCCAGAGCTGTGCAAGGTTTGCATTATCCAGAGTATGTGCTGCTTCTGTCGAATGTATTCTAAGTCCAATGTACACGCCCAATGGAATGGATAACACCACAACAAAAGCGACTACTAGCAAGCAACTCGATATGTTTTTCAAAGAGAACGTCTTTTTCATATCGGGTGATATTCCTTTGCTTTTACGACTTTTCCTGACGACTAGAAACAGTTTGTAGTTGATAAATAACATTGGAGGAATGAAAAGAATGGAAAAAATTACAGCATGCCCTTGGTTGGAAATTAGAAAATCGTTTACAGACATCGCTCTCAAAATTACTTCGACGATGATCAGTATTGCAAGAAGAGCTAAAAGTCTTCCCTTCGTTACCGACGTTCGATGAAAGATAGGATAAGATGTCGCCAAATATCGATCGAAATTCATTACCAAAAGAGCGAATAATGAAAAAACAAAGAATGTGATGGTCGAGTTTATGGCAATATGAGGCCATCTAGCATTTACATCCAACTTGCCAGACAACCATGACATCGTGATAAGCGCCATCAATGGAGTATTGGTTATAACCGCGAGCAAATCGCAACAGGACAAAACCATTATCATGAAATAACATAATTTCTTTCGAAGTTGTACGGATCTCCAGAAACTGAGTATGACCAAGGAATTTAAACATATTCCTGAGAAAAAGAAGAATACGTTCACAGCAAATATAAGTATCAGGTTGATAAAATAATTTGATTCCATCTCTGAGCGAGTTCTTCTGAAGAATGGAACATAAAATTAACGCAGTTGTGCTTTAAGCTTCAGATATACATGAGCAATTGCACGGATAGTGGATTACATTACAAAGACTATCGCACTGTTGTCGCACAAGGTGGCTACAGCTGTATTTGTCGCAATGAGATACTAAAACGAAACACGCCTCCCAATTTTCGACAATCGTTGCCCAAAATGGGTTAGTATTCCAAAGGTTACGACCTTTGGAATACTAACCCATTTTGGGCAACGATTGTCGAAAATTGGGAGGCGTGTTTCGTAGGTCCCACCGTGGCCAGGCATATTTTTCAAGCCTGCCCGGTGTGGATATACAGAGAGTGTACTCAGAGTAACAAAGCATCTTATTCACCTGAGTACATTACACCAACACAGCAAATATCATGATTATTAGATTACACTGATGTCGAAGGGACTAGACTCAGTTCCGAAATATCACATACTCGAACCGACCTGACCGCGTAGCTCAGTTGGCAGAGCATTGGGCTAGCATTGCAAAGGTCGTAGGTTCGATTCCCACCGTGGCCAGGCATATTTTTCAAGCCTGCCCGGTGTGGATATACACTCAGAGTAACATCGCAAGCATTTTATTCACCTGAGTACATTACACCGACACAGCAAATATCAAAATAAAATAGTTTGAAATTTTCCCGAGAAGGACAATATCAGAAAACAAAATTAAATTAATATAAATACATTTTTGCATTCAGTCCAAAATACGCATTACTAAACTTTATTTGCGCATTAAAAGTATTTATCTTTCTTTTAACAATCTTAAGTAGCAATAGTCGGAAATTTACATAAAACACTCGGAACGACTTCGAACGTTTGTACATAATGTTAGTTTGCAGGGCTCGAAATAACGTTCGCAACGTTCCCGATCATGGTGATCGGCAATGAGGACTTTTTGCCGATCAAATAAAAATCTGGCCGATCAGGAGCATTTACCCTCATTTCCTTCAAAAAATTCTAAATATGCCAGTGGGCATTGAATACACATTTGAAGTTTAACTTTATTTCAAATTGAAGTTTAAATCTATGACATTTGTGGACTTATACACTACTAATAGTGTAACTATATTTAACTAGTGCTTAATAAACTTTATTTTATTATAACACTTTTCAAGTTTTAATTATACCACTGCATTTTTTCACACAAAAGCAAGAAACACAGCAGCATTATCAATTAAGAACTAAAACTTATTATTTTATATTAAAAGAGAAAATCCTACTCAAAAAATCCTATCAATTTGAAATTATTATACAAAGATACGTTCGTCGTCAGCGGTTCGGATTGCAGACTTTACTGTTGAAAAGACGACAACACATTTCGCGTAAATATGTTTTAATAAAAGTAAATTAATTACTTTAGAGCGAGAATAGTATTGCTGCCTTTCCTGTCGTATGACTCGTATCAACTATACAAGAGCTTTTCGCGTGTTTTTAAATGTGTTTTATATTACTTTTATTTGTCTTTTACCGTGTACAGGTAAGCATGTCTTTCAGACAATGCTCAAATATATTTCTTGCCGATCGTGAACGGTGAACGGCAACGTTGATTCTTCACCGATCAAAAACAATTTCCTGCCGATCATTGATCGTTGATCGGCCGTTATTTCGAGCCCTGGTTTGTTTGTTTGCTTGCTTGCTTGTTTGTTTGTTTGTTTGTTTGTTTGTTTGTTTGTTTGTTTGTTTGTTTGTTTGTTTGTTTGTTTGTTTGTTTGTTTGTTTGTTTGTTTGTTTGTTTGTTTGTTTGTTTGTTTGTTTGTTTGTTTGTTTGTTTGTTTGTTTGTTTATTTGTTTGTTTGTTTGTTTGTTTGTTTGTTTGTTTGTTTGTTTGTTTGTTTGTTTGTTTGTTTGTTTGTTTGTTTGTTTGTTTGTTTGAACGTAAGTCTGCTACTTGATGAATGTACTCTATACATCACAACGGAAAACAACAAATGATTTTGAAGCTTACTGTCTTGTATCGAAGTGAAATTGAAAGAGATCATTGGTGATCTTTGCTCCACTTTGACCAGAGAACACAAACATTGTGTCACGTGCGATAGTCACGGGAAAATTACAGCACGTCGGCGGACCTTCGCCAATCTGACGAACCTGGATAGTTATTACAAACATATTAGATAAATGCTGCAATCTACTACTGTCGAAAATATAGGCGGGGCATGGCTGGCACGGCGAATGAAAGTGAGCGCGCGCGTGGGGGGGGGGGGGACACTTTCTGACAATAATTCTGGAGACTCTATCCTATTACGTGTTAACCATATAAACTAAACTATCCATTATAGACTTGTTCTAAACTGTTCTCCCTAGAGGTACAGGAAGGATTGATCCAGTGTTACTACAGGAGGAATCCTAAACTAAACTAACTTTATTCATACTGGATAGCTCTGTCAGTTCTACATTGTTCTCTCTAGAGGTGCAGTAAGGATCATCTCTTAATGATCCAGTGTTACTACAGGAGGAAACTTAAACTAAACTAACTTTATTCATACTGGATAGCTCTGTCAGTTCTAAACTGTTCTTCCTAGAGGTCCAGTAAGGATCATCTCTTATTGATCCAGTGTTACTACAGGAGGAAACCTAAACTAAACTAACTTTATTTATACTGGATAACTCTATCAGTTCTAAACTGATCTCCCGAGAGGTCGAGTAAGGATCATCTCTTATTTATCCAGTGTTACTACAGGAGAAAACGTAAACTAAACTAACTTTATTTATACTGCATAACTCTATCAGTTCTAAACTGTTCTTCCTAGAGGTTCAGTAAGGATCATAAGGAACTGATAGAGCTATATCAAGTATAAATAAAGTTAGTTTAGTTTAGGTTTCCTCCTGTAGTAACACTGGATCAATTAGAGATGATCCTTACTGGACCTCTAGGAAGAACAATTTAGAACTGATAGAGCTATCCAGTATAAATAAAGTCAGTTTAGTTTAGGTTTCCTCCTGTAGTAACACTGGATCAATAAGAGATGATCCTTACTGGACCTCTAGGAAAAACAGTTTAGAACTGATAGAACTATCCAGTATAAATAACGTCAATTTAATTATGTACAATATAGAAAGCCATGTTCTTACTTCTTGCCATAATGTAAAATCAAGGCTTGTCAGGTCCAACATCCACATGTCATTAAGTCTGAAGTAATAAGGAGAAACAATAGGGAGTTTAAGCTTCACGTGTCATATTTTCTTTCATATGACACACGAATAGTTGAGCATTCTAGTCATAAAACAACAAGCCCATTTACTTTTTATTGCTTTATAGCGTAATTTTTCTCTTTGCCTGACGTTTGTCGTTTTGTAGCTAAATGTCGAAGAGGGAGCAACGGACGACTTTCGCATTAGAAAAAATTTTAATCTGGGAATAACAAAAGATATTTTCTGAAAGAAGTTATCATAATTAGAAAAACTGCAAAGTTTGGTTGCGAAATGTTGTAAAATACGGAAAATATAGCCCTGCGAAGTTGGCAAATTTGTATACATTTCTATTACGTGCGGAAATTGGTAACTAATTTAGTTACCAACTCACGCACGTAATACTAAAGTATACAAATTTGCCCACTTTGAAGGGCTATATTTTCCGTATTTTACAACATTTCGCAACCAAACTTTGTAATATTACTAATTCCAAGATGCTCTTTCCAGCTGTGGTGATAGATTTCGTTGTTCTTACTTAGGGACCGGTCATTATTTATGGCGGGGGGTGGCACCGAAGAGAAAATGGTTGGGTAAACTAAATTTTGAGTAAGTAAAAGGTTGGGTTAATGAAAAACAAAACAACTCAAGGGTTGGGTAATAAAAAGTTATAGTCATATGTCAATACAATAAGTGAATCAATCAGTCACTGTCTTGATCATTTTCCAATTTGTTAGAAGACAAATGTTTCCAAAGAATTAAAGCACATGTGCAGACAACATGATACATTAGACTACAGCAAATTTCACAAGCAGTCATCTAACTCCTGTCACAGAAATCGGGTAAAGGACATATGTGACACTGAATGGTAACCTTTTGTAAAGTTTAATTTTAGCCAGGGGTGGGTATTTATTTTTACTTGATATTTGAGGTTGGGTAATCAAATTTTTGACTTTTTAATGGTTGGGTCAGCAAAATTTTTGCCACGAAAAACATTTCTCTTCGGTGCCACCCCCCCACCATAAATAATGACCGGTCCCTTAGATTAAAACTTAGTCTAAAGCGCAAGTCGTCCACTGTTCATTGCTTTTTAGTCTTCAATATTTGAGCGAGTCATAAATGACAATAAATTTTCATTACCCAACCCTTGAGTTGTCTTTGTTTTTCATTTACCCAACCTTTTACTCACTCAAAATTTTGTGTACCCAACCCTTTTCTCTACGGTGCCACTCCCC